TCAAATATTCATCATAAATAAACCACAACAAAGAGATGGGAGTGAGTAATTCAATTTTTTACAGGCTCCAAAACCGCGTGGATCCTCTCTCACCTTAGTGTTTAGTTTGTGTGCGCGGGGTGTTCACGCGCACAAATCGAGTTCAGAGAGGGGTCGCTCCGGTAGCCAGAAAATAAAGAGTGGGCCCCTGTTATAAAACATAATAAGAGGCCCTCAGCTATTAATATAAAGCTAACTGTAAGTGAGATCGTGCTGAGCTGCCCTCGGACTCTACGGGATGTACATGTAGATATTTATAAAGATTAACTGGAGAGCTGCGAGCAGAGGATATTTCGGGGAGGGTCAGAAGGGCCCCGAGTGGAGAGGAGAAAAAAAAAAAAGCGGTGATCAATCTTTCTCTCCTTGAGAGAAGCTGACAGCAGTCCCTCTCTTCCTAAATCAGGAGAAACTTCCAGCCCTGCTGCCTTCCCCTCTCTGCTCCAGGGCTTCATCTGTTTTTTTACATTTTTTTTAAACATATTTATTCTCGATGTTATTATTTTACCAGCAGCTATCGCGCATAAAGCAGCTCCTTCGTTTTCCTTTCTGTTTGCTTCTTTTAGCCCCCCAAGTTTCTTCGCCTAAACAAGTCGCAGATGCAGCAATGTGTGTGGGAGTGGGGGGCTTTGAGTGGAGCAGAAAGGACGCGCAGTGAGTGGGAAGAACAGGCGGGATGCGAGGACGCACGGCCAGCAGAAGCCAACTCACTCTGGACCCAGCAGCGCAGAGAAACGCTTCATCTGCAAACGTCTTTACTTATTTCCTCCTTTGACTAAAAGGAATTAAAAATAAATAAATTAGAGGAGCTGGTAACGGAGGCGAGATGGCTGACACTACTGCGAAATTTAAATTCTACATTGTTTATTTACATTTGAAAATATTCTCTCTTTGTTTGGTAACTTATTAATTGAATATTTATAGCCTATATGCTTTAAAGCTACTCATGTATTTAAAGATGCATGCTCAGTATGAAGGAACTTAAATGACCCAATGCTGCTGCCGTCTCCATGTGCACATCATGGAGTAAATGCTGCACTCCATGACTGGATGCATTCAGAAATTTTAACCAATCTGTTTGCATGGTTTGATCTGTAAAGTCCCTTGTGACGCATCTTGTTCTTTGGCGCTTTATAAATACAATGAACTGAATTCATCAAAGTGGTGATCGTCTGGTAAAGCTAATGTCACTGCGCACAGTCTTAGTGTCAGGAACTATTTGAGCAAATCTCAAGAAGAAGAAAATCTATAGTAGATAATTCTGACAGAAAGTTTTACTCTTTTTGCTTCCCTATGATGAAGTCAAACTGATGATCATAGTAAGATGTTTAATTAAACAAATCGTTCAGTCCATTATAGAAAAGTTGGGTTTTTATATATAAGGAGCATCCAGGGCGCATTGCAAGCCGCTTAAAGCGCCTCACCCTTCCAGCCCCTCTGTTCCCAGCAGCGCTGAGGAGAGACTGGGCTCTCCATCTGCTTTTACGAGGCAATAAATTAAAGCCAATCTCTGCTTATTGGTGTTTTTATTGTCTGTTAGTCCAGAGGAGATGTAAAGGGAAGCATAGCCATTATTTATGGGATCTTGATTTACGTCCGAAGTTTTAATGGCGCTCCCAGGCTTCTGGAGCACGTGATAGGGAGAAAAAAAAAAAGTGGGCCAAAGATATTTAAGTAAAAGTCACGTGAACTGAACAAGGCGCGGGCCTGGAGGCTTTTTTTTTTTGGTGGGTGAAAGAGAGGGGAGACATATCCAACACATCTGCACAAAAAGAAACACTTCTATTACCAAACTGCTGCTATCATCTGCTAAATTTACTAAGTCTTTTAAATTATAACTTTAGTTGTTTTGAAGGTATAAAGAAGTAAATCTAAACTTTTTTTCACTTTTCATACAGCAGATAAAAAACACTAAAAGTTGGTTCCCTCTGATGCATATTTTGTTCTTTTAAAAAGCTATTTTTTTTTGTAACATTTGATGTCACTGCTTCATCTGCCATGCAATACAAAGTCTCAGTATCTTGCCTTGACGATGTCAGTGGTTAAGCATCAAATCTATCTTAAAAGAAATAATTACTGCTCTGAGTAACATAAAATTTTATTAAAGAATTGTTTGACAGACAACTTTATCAACAGTGGAAAAAAAATAACTACAAAGGACAGAAAAATGTTTCCCCAATGTTTCCCGAAAAGGACTTTTTCGTCTCTCCTGCTAACAGTTTGTTTCTATTTTCAGACTATGGGTGGATTTCCAAACCCAACACTTTTCCCTTTTCCCTGCACAAGCCAAGACATTTATGTACAAGGATCATAATAACATAAAAATGGTCTTAGAAACAAAATAAACTACCTATTTTCTTCTAAAATACAAGAAAAAAAAAAGAAAGAATGTAGCTTTAGTACAATAGACAAGAGGAAACACAATATTGTTTTTTTTTATTACAGGTAAATACTAAAAAAGTACAGGATTTTTTTCCTCAATATAAATACACAAAAGATAAATAATATTATTACAAAACAGAAAATCTTTTTAAACTGGCTATAACAAATAAATATTTATACGTGAATGTTCACTTGAACACACCTCAGCGAAAGACGCTTTGATTGGACGGCCTTCCGTCTTCAAAATAAGATCAGATTTTTTTTAACCATCAGCCATCAAAATGTAAACTCTAAGTGCAACAATGATGCCCAGTTCTAAAACAGCATTTGTGTAAAACTTGAGCTTTTAAAAACAACTCTAGGGGTTTATTATCGATGAAACGCCATTCTATGGAGCTAAATTGGTGCCATATATCAGAAAAAAATTTTAAACTGAAAAAAAAAAATGCAACATAGGATTTTATATTTGTCAGTTAGATGATTTGAAACCGAAAACATTTTTTAATTGAAAAAAAAGGTTTAGGTATTTTTTACCCTCTTAAAGTAAAGCGGAGTCAGACTGATTCCAGCAGCATAAGCCGAGAAAAATGTCATCTTTAAAAACAATCCTATAAATGTAGGATATCAGCACTTCAAAGATAGTTTCCCAAGGTGTCTGAATGCAGCAGCTGAACTTTTTTTGTCACCTGAGCTTTCAGTAATCATTTCACAGCCATGTCATCTAAGCCCCGCCCCCACACCGAGGAGGCAGCAGTTTGGAACAAATGAACATATTTGCATCTGAAAAGTAGTTTGACACATTTGCTCTCAATTTCATTTTTTTTCTTTTCAAGTTTAAATTTCTTTACTTTCAATATTTTTCCCAATTTTTTTTTTTTCCTTTTTTTGGTTTGAAACCTTTTTTCCAGTTTTAAAATATACTTTTCAGTTTCTTAGTTGTTTTTCTATTTTTTTTTCTTATAGCTTCAAATAACTTTTAAAATTACAATTTTTTTACTTTTCAGCTAAAAGAAAAAGTTTTTTTGACAAATTTTATGGCCCCACTTTATCTCCATAATAGCGTTTGACGTTCCAAAAAGTGGACGATAAACCCCGCTGTTTTAAAAATCCCTTTAACACAAATGCTCAGATATCTGGGACATGCATTTTTTGTTCAAATATATACCCTGTTTCCACGTTAAAAGTCAAGACATTTGGGAAAGAAAACAAAATAAAAAATGGGGTCTTCCACACATCGGCATCGAGCAGAGTGTGATGGGGTGGGAGTTTGTGGGTGAGGTCGGTGATGTCAGTGACTTTTTCAAACATAAATAAATAGTCCTCTCCACTCTTATTATTTACCCTGTCTTCTCAATGATGTGCTAAAATAAGGACACTAAAACAGCAGACTTTGTGCCCCGTTGTGTTTGTCTGAAGGTGTCAGCAGCTGGAAGGCTGTTTGCGGACGTATGCCAGCGGGAGGAAGTTAGCTTAGTGTTGCTGTGTGTGTCTGCAGAGATGACCGTGTCATCAGGTAGTTTAGGGCCCTTTGGAGCCAGCTCAGCCTTTTAGCTCTAATCTTATATACCCTGTTACAGTGACGGGACGGACGGTTGTGTACGTGTGCGTATCGTGTGTGTGCGTGCTGGCGGGGGTAAGATTGGGTTAGTAATGATTGGGTCTAGACAGACAGAGATGGGTTCTGCAGGGAGAAAACAAAGACAGCGACCAGAGAACCGTCCAGTGGTTTTTGATGTGCTTGATAAAACATGAGGCTCAGAGGAAGACCTGCGCTGCCAGCTTGAGCCATATATTTCTTCCACACTCCCAACACATAGCTCAGCTCTGCTGACAACAACATGTGTTGCCTGCAGGGGAGAGAAGTCGGCATAATAAATCTAACCACCTCATTAACAGCCCATTAAATTCTCAACTATTTCATCTACCAGGCAAGAGAGCTGCACGTATATGTGTGTCTTAGGGGGAGATTTTACCATCAGAGGGCCGTTTGAATCCATGCAGTATTTCTTAAAGGGTCATTATAGGCATTCTGTTTCACTCCATGCGTGCTCTAATATTGTTGCAAATCGCTCCACGCCTACAAAGATCTACTAACGCAACTATTGCAAACCCATGGATGGTTAAATATGCAATATTTCTTTAGATATCAAGGATCGCTCTTTATGTAAGGCGTTCATTAACACTGCTTACTCCTAATTTGTCTAAAGAGCTCTAAATGAAGGGAAATGATACAAAAATAGGTAATACTGAAATATGAAGCCATACATAATAGCAGAAGACAAAATATTAAACACATTAAAGGTTTGCTTTCCTAACTTATTGCAGAAAGTGCCACCACTGATTTCTTAGACTACTACTGTAATCAGTTCCTAAACGGAAACTGACGGCTCTCGTAAAGCAGTGAGGATATATTTGATGCTGCTCTTGTGAACGCAGTGATGTTTCACATAACGTGGCACACGGCATCTCACAAACCACTGGAAGGCTCCCATCTGTCCCGCTTCGCCCCGTTGCAGCGGCGTCGTCCCTACGTTTGGTTCATCTCTCAGTGAATCAGGTCATGTTATGTTTGTTTTTTTTTCTGCTATATTCTCTCATTTCTACATTTTCGTTTTGCTCTAAACCTGCTACAGGTGAGTGAGCTTGGGTGCTTCCTGGATTCTGCCCTGAGTCGAGGTGTGGTGTGCTGACAGCTCGGTGTAAGTAGGATGTGTGGGTGGCTCGCAGGGACCCTGGGGGCCCCCTCCACCCACGAGGTGCTGGTTGGTAGTTGACATCGGCCCCGCGCCGTTGTAGTCTATGGTTTGGTGGTGAGGCGGCGTAGGGCCGAGGTGGTTTAGGCCATACATGGAGGGCCCGGGCTCCACATAGCTGCCGCCCCCAACGTAGACCGGACTGGCCTGCATGTTAGTTGGTGTCCCATAGCCGGCAGCGTTGGTCTGCACTAGGCTGTGGTGGGGGTCACCGTAGTCTGGATCAGCGGCACCGTATTTCTGAGGAGGGCAGCCCTTCATTGGAACATTAGAATAGGCAGTGGACATAGAATAAGACACCCCCTGGTGGAGCTTTCCAAATGAAGGTGGAGAGGGGGTCTCATAGGTAGGGCCCCCTCCTCCTCCTCCCATTGGATGCATTGAGTTCAGGAAGCTGGCAGAGGACTGCATGGTCAGAGGAGGGGAACCTGTGGGGGACGGTCCTCCAGAGCTGGAGCTCAAGCCCTTGGACTTCTGGTCTTTTTTGTACTTCATTCTTCGGTTCTGGAACCAGATCTTAATCTGGCGTTCGGACAGATTCAGCAGGTTGGCCATTTCCACGCGCCGCGGCCGGCAAAGGTACCTGTTGAAGTGGAACTCCTTCTCCAGCTCCACCAGCTGAGCGCTGGTGTACGCCGTACGAGCGCGCTTGGACGACGCCGACAGACCTCCGCTCGGACTCTTCTCCCCACTGCTGCCGCTCTCAGCGCCCCCTGTTGCTGCGGAGGGAAAAACACATTAACATCAACCAGCCGGTCTGATGAGAGTCACAAGAATCACATAAAATAAACAGCCAGTTCATTAACGCTCTGAAAATAAAACAGCTATATGCAGTTCAGCAGCCAGGGGAGCAAAAAGGAAGCCGGTTCTATGTAGCATTAAATGTGATAATCAAATAAAAGTTATGAGCGGTAAATGTAAAGATAATAGAATAAATCTAGACTGCATGCCAGAGGAAATTGGAAACATTCAGAGTCTTAATAAAGCAGAGGGGGGTCTGGGCAGGCGGCCTGAATTACGCCTTGATATTAGTTGTCAACACTTCATAACAGTGGCAGTTATTAAAAGATGAAGGCCCCTGTGCTGGCCGAGAACACCTAAATTGCATCTTGGTTAGAGAGACAAACCCCCACAGCAACAACAGCTGCAGCATGAGGAACTGCTTTACTTCAGTGGACTCATCAAAAAATATAAAAACAATAAAATAATTCAGCATGTCTTTCAGATAACTCGAGTTTGTTGCTTTCTTGTCAGTCTTTTTCTGCCTCAATTTTCTTTCTACTAGAAGACACAGATTTGGATTTAAGTCCATCAGCCTAAAGTCCAGAGGCTAACTGCCTCAGTTTGACTTTAAATTATATTTTAACATAATGAAGAATTTGAGTTTAAATGAATCAGCTTCATTAATCTTCACCGTCGTTTTTTTTTTAGAGTAAACAATGTTTCCTGCAGGCTCAACCCGTCAGTTACTGACCCTCGGTCAAACACCAGAAACTTTGCGAGACGGGGGTACCATCCTCGTCATATGTTATTGTGCAGGGACAGTGTGGACACTGTGTCCAATAATCTGTGAAGAACATTTTAGCCGACAAAGTTTCTGTTTGTAACTTTAGGACTTTATGGTAACATGTATACTAGTGTTTCTTCAGGTTAAGATCAGTGTTCCTCCATTCTGGTCCTTGAAATTTATTTAGATAAGTTGCTGCTTCTGCATCTGAATGAAAGGGCTTAATTACCTCCTCAGCATACAGCCATGTTCTCCAAAGTGGTGCTAATGAGCTGATCATTGGACTCAGGTGTTTTAAAGGAATAGTACACCCAAAACATGATTAGCCTTCATTTTCTACTCACCCCCATGCTGAACAACACTCTGGAGTACTTTTTTGATATCTCAAATGCATCTGGAGATCTGGGAGGCTTCTTGCTGTCTGCTGACATTCAAATAATGGAGGTCTATGGCGCCCGAGGCAGAAAGGTCCATAAAAGTCCACAAAAAACGTGTCAATATTCCTCCATACTGCTCGTCCAATGTATTCCAAGTGTCCTGAGTGGGTAGCGTCCAGAATTTACTCGAAACAAAGTTATTTAGAATGTTTTTAGAGCATAAACAGTAGTGTATAGGATTTCCTAAAAGCGCGTTCACGAGTCTACGGAAACCGCGGCAGACCAAACCAGATGAAAGTGCGCATTCAGCATCTGCTCTGCCGACAATGCAAGCGTAGAAGAAGAAATGTGCTGTTTACCTGTGCAAAGAAAGAAACAACGAAAGAAAAATGTCTGAGGACTTCAGTGTTGAGGAAGAGCATGAGTTCTTTGCCGAGCTGAATGCGCACTTTCATCTGGTTTGGTCTGCCGCGGTTTCCGTAGACTCGTGAACGCGCTTTCAGGAAATCCTATACACTACTGTTTATGCTCTAAAAACATTCTAAATGACTTCGTTTTGAGTAAATTCTGGATGCTACCCACTCAGGACACTTGGAATACATTGGACGAGCAGTATGGAGGAATATTGACACGTTTTTTGTGGACTTTTATGGACCTTTCTGTCTCGGGCGCCATAGACCTCCATTATTTGAATGTCAGCAGACAGCAAGAAGCCTCCCAGATCTCCAGATGCATTTGAGATATCAAAAAAGTACTCCAGAGTGTTGTTCAGCATGGGGGTGAGTAGAAAATGAAGGCTAATCATGTTTTGGGTGTACTATTCCTTTAAAGCAGAGAGACATGGAAAAGGTGCAGCCAACCCAACCTTGAGGACCTGACCTGAGGAACCCTGGTTTATGTTTTAGGGTAAGGGATGGGTTAGCGTTAGCTTTACAGGTTTCAGTTCATGTGTAATTTTCCAAGTTCCTGCTCCAACCTGTCAAACACCCTGCAGGCTCTGACCGAGTATCAAAATTAGACGAGTTGGGTGTGAAAATGACAGCTAAGTTAGGCTACGTTCACACTGTAGGCCTTGATGCTCAATCCCGATTTTTTTGTGAAATCCAATTTTTTCGCGTTCCCATTGATTATACCAAATATATGCGACCTGTATGTGATTTCCTGTGTGAACTGCATTCATACAACGCAAGTGTCCCGTATGCGCAGTAGAGGACGCAATGACGTCACGCTCCGGTGTGCTATGCGTTTACGGAAGTAAACATGGATGGTAGTTCCGGTCCGCATCTAGCGATCTTTTCCAACCATAAAAACTCAATCTTTTCAATATGGTTAAACATAAATACTGCTCTCCGCATCATCATCTGCCATGGTTGTTGTTTTTCTTGCCGCTTCTGTGTAGCAAGATGCAGAATAGTGACCTATGTCGGGTATTAATGACGTTCAGGTCGGATTAATCCGACCTAGCCATTCAGACACAGGTCCCATATCGGATTCAGGACCACATAGCCAAGTGGTTGGGTCGCATTGGAAAAAATCAGATCTGGGTTGTTCAGACTGCCATGAAAAGATCTTATCCAGGTCGCATATGGAAAAAAAATCGGATTTGGGTCACTTCAGGCTGCAGTGTGAACGTAGCCTTAGATGTGTGCTAATATCGACCTGTGGAAAATGGATTCCAGGTGCTGGATGTCACTATCTGATCCATACCACTGGCTCATGTGCAAGCAGATATTCATCCAGGTCACCATAAATATGTTGGTACGGGACTAAAAGGGACTAATTTTTTATGACTTTTTTGAGACAGTTTGATGCTTTTGACATTTTCTCTGTTAAATGGCATGTCTGACATCATCATGGGAAATGCTCTGAGCAGTCTGAGCAGTATGATTAAACCATTTTTATCTGCACTTTAGATGTTTGTTTCTTTAGGTTATGTACTTTATACCATAAGGTTAACAAGAAAGGAAAAATTAAAACTCAAAAAAACTAAATTGATGTTTAAATCCAAAGCCGAAAATGTTTGCTCCCAAAAGTAGCATAGGATCTCATTTCCTTTACAGATTGGGAAAAGATGAGAGATAAAACGAAAAGGATTTAAACGCTTTTAATTTTTCAGGAAATACTTAATTTAACCGTTACTATATCTAGGGAGGGAAAACGTAACTTAGATCTTTTTTATATTGTTTGGTTAGAGAAAAAATATATTGGAGTCCAGGAAGTTAAATGTGTACTTTGTAGTGATACTACTGATGATATTAATTTATCATTCTGAAACAACACCTGGATTTATATCTGGTTTATGAGTTGATGGTACAGATCAGGTAGTGACACTGGATGCCAGGATGTTGCTAATGAAGGATGCTAATGCTGGATGCCAGGATGTTGCTAATGCTGGATGCTAATCCTAGATGCCAGGATGTTGCTAATGAAGGATGGTAATGCTACATGCCAGGGTGTTGCTAATGCTGGATGCTAATGCTGGATGCCAGGATGTTGCTAATGCTGGATGCTAGTGATGGATGCCAGGATGTTGCTAATGCTGGATGCTAGTGATGGATGCCAGGATGTTG